CCTCCGTTCCCTCGTATGTCCCTGGAGCCCGTTCCGGCCCCGCAGTAAAGTGCAGTATACACCTCCGACATCCGGTACTAAGGAACTGCTATGCCAGCCTTAACCCTTGACTACCTGCTAGGAGGATGACCAGCCCTAAGTTATAATCTGGTATCGAACACGGGACCTCATGTGAATCGTGCAAATGACTTAACCTGCTCGGTCCTGCTGTAGCTGTGCTCTGCTGGGCTCGAGTAAACCAGACTGTACAAACCACCCAGCGGTCGTGTGACCACCTGTAGATGAAGAACATCAGGATACCCTACCATCGCCCAGTCCCAACATACAACAACCATGAGCTACCCCTTGGGTGGTGCACAGGCAGTGTATGTAATAGCTAACCTGCATCACCCCAAGGGGGTTTGTGTCCAGCTGTGCGTCACTCTAACGCCCTGCCGGTGTCCATGTGCAGGGTTGTGAAGTTTTGAACCTGCAACCTTATACCACAATGCGCATTTCAAACCGGTGCTCTAACCACTGAGCTACATCAACTATTCCACCAGCAAGTCATAAATGCAGGATACAACTCATGCAAGACGCTTTCCCCCTTTATAACCGGGAGGCCCTGGTGGGCGGCATTGATTTCTTCCATTCCGGAAAGATGTACCATGCCTCACCCCTGCCTAAGTAAGCCTATTGCTACTGTGTAGATGCGCCCTGACTTCTATCTCTATTTTACCCCCCTTAGGGTCCTTCTGCCCTTAAAGTTTGTGCTTGCCATAGCTGTGTTTCTCTCATCTGCCTGCTGACTGCTATGCCTGAAGGCCTGTTGCTCATTATCCCTGTATACTTCCTCTGGTTAACCTTAGCGTTTTCTACAACCTATACCTCTGGTGCTTTCCAAATTCTCTCACTCTAGCTAGTAGCCTACTGAGGGGTGATTCCTCTTTTTCTTACTTTTTTTTTTCACCCTTTTTACAAGCTTCCGTTTATTCACCACCTACTATGTGGCTCGACAATTCTGCCAGAATCTGCCTGTCTCACTGTGTGTGTGTGTGTGTGTGTGTGTGTGTGTGTGTGTGTGTGTGTGTGTGTGTGTTTAAGGAACCCCAGATTCTATCTCTCATTCCCTCCTTGAGTCATCATAAACCATCCATAAAACAAATAATGTAGTGATAGGTAAGATGGCAAAAAATGCAAGGTTGTATGTATGTGTGTGTGTGTGTGTGTGTGTGTGTGTGTGTGTGTGTGTGTGTGTGTGTGTGTGTGCGAACACGCTTGCACGAGAGAGAGAGAGAGAGAGAGAGAGAGAGAGAGAGAGAGAGAGAGTAAATGTAATTCGGGTCTGGCATGGTCGGTTAGCAGCCGCGCCAGGAAATTCAAGAAACGGTTAGGACCTAGCAGGAGTAGGAATTTTGAATTTTCGAGTGCGCGGCTGGTTTTGAATTTTTTGCGCGCCGCGTAAACCCGTTCTCCCACTCTGCATCCCCACGCCATCTTCCCTTCTTGCTGTGCATCTGAGCAGCATCTCCCTCTTGCATGTCTCTTCGTCTTCCCTCTAAGCGAAGCCTCCTTTCTGGGCTTTCCCTGCGAATGATTGGCTGTTTGATTGGGATGGTCGGGGCAATGTGGTGGCCGCGGGAAGCGCACCCCACTTGGATGACCACCCCAATCACACAGATCATTTGATTCGCCTCTTTCGATCCTTTTGGAACGTTTGCCCTTCTTTTGTCCTGAACGTCTACAACCTCTCCACCGCTTCCCGCGCCATAAATTCTCGCAACCCCTTCCTCTTACTCTCTTTGATCTCGGCTGCAAGTTGCGCAAGCTATGTGCGAAGCCCGTGGCGCCGAAAAGGCTCGACGCCCCGTGGCGGGCGGAGTGACGGCGGGTGGCGGAGTTAGTCGTAGACTTGGGGTACTAAGGCAGTCGGAGGGACTGAGCGGTGGTGGAGATCAGACGTCGGCAGCGGCAGGGCCTTGTGGCTATGGTTGTCGGTGGTTTTGACGGATTGGGGACTGGGCCAGGAGCGGCCAGTCGTGAGAATTC